CTGTAGGCTCTTCTTTTTAACTTTAGCTACCAAAAATATAGTTGAAATACATGTTAAAAGAAAAAAAAAAAAGACTACCACAACAAAAAGCCCCATACAAATTTGCCTAAAATGTATTGTTACTGTTAAAGTTACAAATATTGAACAGCCATCACACACATATTAGAACAAAAACCATCAACTCCGATCACCAAAGCAGAAGTTTCAGAGAGCACTCACAGCCCCAGATTCCGTATACAGAACAATCTCTGGAACACAGTAATTAGAAGCTTCTAAATTCATGTTTCATTAAAAGCATTTTAAAAGCACAACATACTTCCTAAAAACTATTGTCCATACACTCTGCTGCCTGATATGAAGGAGAGGCATGGATGGCTCATCTTAAAAAAAAAAAAAAAAAAAAAAAAAAGCTACTGGGATTTTCTCCTGCTACATAGAGATATCACTCCATGTTTGCTGTATTTCTACCTATCATCTAGGTCTTTAAAAAGAAATACACACAGAGAAGAGCTAGCTATATTAAATTAAATGTTTCCCATTTTAGACACTGGCTGTTCCACAGAAGAAAATATCTAACTAGATAAATTACAATCAAATGCTTTCTTTAAGGGAAGAATAGATGCAGAAAAGGAGAGCAGCAACTGAGCTTTATATGTCCAAGAGCTGTTAATTAAGTTCAGCGAAAGCTTAAATAGTCTGATAAAAATCCTGACCGGTAGCAGCTTGATCAAAATATTAGTTACTAGTGAATGAGTTCCATCAATAACAGGTCTAACCATATGCCTGTGTTTTGCTTCTTACTCCCAAAACTGGAAGAGAATATAGCTTGCAAGAAAGTGGATCTGCATTTACAGAACTGGCCTAACTACAGAGGTGATAATGTGTGCACCAGACCTTAGAATTTGGTCTGGAAACATAAAAATTGGAGAGAATGAACCAACATTTTAAGTATCGTTATTTATTTAATTTGATTTGAATTCTACTTCCTCTGGAATCTGTTTTTGCAAAGTGGGACACAGAAAGGGAACAGAAGGGTGGTTTAACCTTTTATTTTTGCTACATATTCTGTTTACTCTTTGTTATTTTTCTATTTCAATAGGTTCCGTAAAAAAAATAATTGTACTTTCTGCTGTCTTCTAATTTCTACTATGAACACACATATAGACTGTGAATTCACAGAATTTAATCATAAAATTTGCTTTAAAGTTTAAAATTGATACCACCATGCTCTATGCCACATAACAGACAAGATGTCATTTCTCCAGGGTTCAGATCTATAAAGTCACCGTGCTATCCAGCTCATTTCCAGTGGTATAGCAGTGACTCTACGCCACGTTACCTAATACTTTTGAGATAATCTACTTCGCCACACAAATCGCTGTCTAACATTAAAAGCACATAGCTGCAAAAGATATCAAAACAAGAATAAACTAATGTGATATGTATTTGCAAGCAAAGATCTACAGGGTTGCTAGATTAATAACAACAATAAACGAACACCGACTTTTAAGCTCTACTGCAGTATTAACATGTCTCCATAGTTGCAGGAACTGCAAATTTTTAAACTCAAGTTCATTCCAATAGCCTGTGTCAACTATACCATTCGGATGGACATCTACCTCTTTTAATGCCATATTTCACTGAGCAAACAGACAGTGGAAGGGACGGATATTTGTATTAAATTGAAAACACTGATTAAAACCCACATTTGCTGATTGCAATTTAAAGCAGTCTTTTTTTAAAAATCCTGTTATATCATTTCAGTCAATATTCATGTGCAGCACATATTCAGACAGAAAGACAGGAATGGCAAAGAAAGAGTTACCTTGGGCATTTTCAGGAATGCAGGTATTGCAACTGCCAAAACATTGCTATTATACCAAAAAAAAATTTTGATTGATCAGCTAGATCTTGCTCCTTCCACAAACTGGTTATATCAGGGTCTGTCATATTCTCATAGCAGAACACAAGTAGTGACACAGGTCTCTTCTTAAATACTAACATCATATTTTTTATGATGTAAATGCAAACATTAGGCCCCAAATTAATTCAAAATCATTTTGATAAAAGATTTTTTCTAATGGTAGCTAGAAGAACAGCAGATAGAAAATAAGACAGGAAACTACTGCACATGATCAGGTAGCAAAAACACTAGGGCTATCTACAGCTGCATGCAATGGGGACAGATATCATTGTGTTAAGAAGTAATCATCCTTAGTATTATTTTGCTGTGATTACTAGTATCTGGGCGATGGACAGGAACATTGAGGCAAACCACTTTACTATGTAGTAAGAAGAACAAATAGTATAGTCAGGTCTCTACGATCAAAAGTAGAGGGGAAAAAAATCACAATTTTTTATTTGGTGGACATAAATACAAGGAAGTGTGCGACTTGTTTTTTGTAGTTGTTATACTTGCTGTTTTTCTTCACTTAGAACTGAATAGTTCATAACCAATTTATAGCATTTGGAAACTGATACTGAAAAATCTATTCAAGTTTTCACATGGAAAGAAAAATCATATTACATTAAGTTTTTAAGGCAGTTTATTATAGCAGCTTTGTCACTAACTACCTGGATTTTAACTAAACACAGTGCAAGATCATCATAAAAAAGATGTTAAAAGAGTCCCCCCGTTAAAATGCTGGTAAAGTATATTGGCCATGGTTCAAACACCTCGTCATCTCTGCCATATTTACATATTCTGCAATAACACTGTCCTGCTTTCTCTCCTTGCTGTCATCAAAACAGCAGCAGAAGGTAAGGCACCGCCTGCAGCATGACCACACTGCTTTCAAACCACTTTTCCCTTCTGGAGTAACGCTTCCAATCTTTTCTCGTGTATAATCGTTGCTGGGACAGCAGAGCACAGGTCCAGGAGGCCTATTCCATTCTGACATAGAGGAAACGTTGTCCTAAAAACTTACAAATCATTCTTAAATTCAGCTAGATGCTAATAATTCTACAGGATCAACTAGGGGAAAAAAAAATTTCCCCCTAAAAGTAAGACTGCAACTGGTCTCACTGTGCCGGTGCAGATTGCAGTGGGAATGCCTACTTTGTAAGCAGAAAGGTGCCTCTGCATCCATTCATAGAAGTGTAGTTAAGTTTTAAAAGCCTGCGTATGTTGGTAGCCAGCAGTCCAGCTCGTCAAGCCTACCCATGAAAAGCAAAGGTTTTGAGTCCAGAGCCTTCGAAGAACTAATCTGAGTCACGCTGCTCACCTGCTAAGAGTAAACTCAGATCTACTTTCCTGAAATTGATAGAATATATACTAAAATACTGTGTACTTTTATGGGCACTTCTGGATCTAGATGATTTGAACTTTCTGTTTCTCTGTTCATAGCTAAAACAAGTTTTTAAAACCTCAAAGTAGTATGATACAAATGCTTTTTAATGCCAAAACTTGTATATAATTGAAATATTTAACGAGTATACAGTAATAGTTTAGAATACATCTATCCCTACTTTTCTCATACCAGATGTCTTCAAAAACATTCTACAGACTGCAATCCATTTTGACAATTAAAACATCGAATCTTAAAATTTCCACCTTTAGGTTAGGGAATGTATAAATTAGGTGAGTTTCTTTGTGAAAACTGCTGAATAAACACAACGAATGAAGCAGTGCTTGTCCCCCAAAATGTTAACAATCTACATAATAAAGAAACCAAAAGGGAGGTGAGGCCAATTACAAGAGTACGTGGTTACACAGACGAGGGACGCCAACACAGTATTTGGAACTTCTTCCTTCTCTGAGCTATAAAAGACAACGGCAATCTTGGGTTGCAGAAGAACAGGATGAGGTACAGACAAAAATGGGAGAAGGAAGAGGAATGAAGGGGGACTGGAAGACTGAGGAGAAGGCGTGGAGAGCTTCCAAGAAACAAGCTGACATGGGCTGACAGGGAATGAAGGGTTGGAGGAAAAAAGTCAATAGAAGAGAATGAATATACAAGATTGGCTGCTTCAGTACATGCAAGCTCTGTTCATATTAGGTGGACTGTGGAAGAAAACAGCAAGTAGATTTTTGCCCAGTCAGGACTGACTAGCCCAAATAAAGTTAAACTGCCTTTGTGCCTTTCATTTCTGATGAGAGGTAGCCTGGATGACTGGATTTGCAGAGCTGTCCCTGACATTCCCCTGCTTCCTCCTCTCCTACTTTCCCAACCATGCCTAAGCTATGCCTAAGCTCTCTTTAGCATCTGTCATTTTCGGCTGCACAGAAATATAGATTGGAAAACAGAGTGAGAGAGCACAAAAGAACTTCCTGGTACCAAGATTCCTCCAGATAAAGAAAAGTTTCCACAGTGATCTCTAAGGCCATCTAATAAAAATTACACAGCACAAAGCATTAGCTGTCTGGACACTATGGCCAGAAGAATCAAACAGTATCAGTGGAAATGCTCCACACTGTAAGTTTTGCTGCAGCTGCTCCTAGTTGGTCCTGAGGAAGTCATTGCTTCTCTCAAAGGCTAACTGTGCCCAGAAGCTGTTTACAGCTTCTGAATACTAAGATTTTTAATCAGATTTGTCTCTTTATTCAAGTTATACATTATTGAGAAAGGTGGCAATACTGAAAAATATGTCTATTACGCAGCAACACAGAACGCACATCTGTAGCCTACATTCACATCATTGAATATCCTCCTCTCTCCTTCCTCCCCCCACTTTTTTTTTTTTTTTTTTTTTTGAGTCGGGTAAGACAATTCATCCAAGTTAGAGCAGAGAACAGCATAAGCAGCCCACACACATATGTACTGGGTTTAAATTCTTTGGAAAACTATATTGTACAAGCTTTCCCTTTATTTATCCAAAATGGCACAAGCAAAAGATGTTCTAAAAATCCTCCAAAGAATGGTTGGGGGGTAGGGAGGCAGTTGTTTTCATGAAAGAAACAATATTATTTTCAAACAACTCAAGCGTCATTTTTCTGTTTACACACCACAACAGGTACAGCAGATCATACCATATACCGACAGATTAACAGGACCTCCTACCTCGACTTCATCCTCTCATGCATTCTCCCATGCTGGATACATTGTTGCTCCAATTCATCATTCCTTTTCTGCATCTTCTCCAATCTGCCATGAAGATACTCTTTTTCCTGACTAAGCTGGTTGACTTCAGATCTACAGAAGTAAAAGAGTGATGATGGATGTTGTCAGATTTCATCCTGCAGTGTGCCATCAATATGTGGCTTCAGCATTTATAAAATTTCAAACATGTATATATAATGCGCAAACAGGCTATTACTAGAACTCACAGAAACAAAGCACTGTTTCAAATGATCCTAAGAAGACAGAACGCGATGCCGAAGGGTATCTGGTAAATATACCAAAGGCAATTACTCAGTCACAGGTCAGCTGTGCTGATCTCAGACTAATTTAACAGGCATGCCATTTGATATCATGTGTTGACGTTACATAAAATCATTAAATGTAAATTCATACTTGTTAAGCAACAATTTGGCCACCACTATGAAAACATATTTCAAGCTCTTTATTTGTAAAAAGCTAACATCTAAATTAAAAAATGGCTACCAAAATCTTGTTCAACCCTCACTGTACTGTACAGCCTGAACGCTCAATAGTGCTATAGTTTTAGAAACTTTGCTAACATAATATGCCCAAAATACCATTAGGGATACAACAGATTGGGAGGAAAATGAATAAAAGCTTAAGAAACAAGGGACAAACCATACAGGCATGCTAAATCTCTGCACAGTCTTTAAGAAAATGAGTCACTTTAGCAATTCTTACTCTTCACGGGTGAGCAGATCCATGAATGACCTAGGACTGCTACTTGCTACATCTCTAACCATCAGCCCATGAAAAAATAGGCATGAGCTGTTTTTTAATATCAGGAAAAGATCTCAGATAAAACTGTGATAAATATACATTATGCACTTGTACAGTTTAATTCTTCGGAAAAGGTTAATGAGAACATGTCAGAATCTGCTATACCATCAGAAAGTAAGGATTGGAAGCAAGCAAGTTTGTTTTATGGCATCTGCCACTCCAGATCTTGAGGTTAAAAAGCTCCAGAGATATCTTTAAATCACACACTTAAATATGCTGCAGAAGGAAGATACTTTACCTTCTAGGCTGTTACAGAATGCAACAACTGACATTTAAAACAAATAAAACAAAGTACAGGGGGGCTGGAATACTCTTCCTTCAAAAACATGCTGCTACACTGACAAGTCACGTCTGGAAATGACAACATAATCTTTTCATATTTAAATAGGGAACAATACATGATATCATCTGTGAATCTAAAAGAACTTAACAAGAGCAACTTTGAAAGACTGTATGTATGCATTGAATTTAACCTTGCAGTTAAATCTACCAAGGAGCAACACAGAAAAATACATCAGAATCATGTACATCAAACTTATAGGCAAAAGGGCTTCCTGGATGGTTACGTGAAAGTGAGAAGGGAGTTACGGGAAGGCAACTGAAGTCAAATTGTTACATCAATCATTTAACAGAAACGCTAGTAAGAATGAAATGTCAGCACTACTAAAAAACTATCGTCATTTGGACCTATCATTATCACATAGTATGAACGTTGTTGATACTGATACTGTCAGAATGGCAATCAGGGTATAAAAGCAAGGGTTCCTCCCAAAGCAGCTCAACAGAGATCTCACGCAACAGATCCAACCAAGTGATAACAGGGATTAAACACATCTGCCATCTTGTGTTCCTTTCTTGCCAGTAAAAGGCAACAACAGTATGTGCCCTATGGGAATGCTCTAAACTATCGTGTTTGTAGGGCTTCCCAACTGCGGGAGCCTGCCTCTTTTCCTTCATTTATATGTGACTGTCTGATTCACAGAAGCAGCAAAAGCAACTTTCAAGATCGTAAAAATGTGAAAGTTTTCAGGGACTTGCTCACTCATCTCCAGCATATTTAAAGGTGCCAGCATTCTTTCCGGAAAGATCAAGGCGTTCAAATCTTAGCTACCCCAATATAATATGCCACTGAAAATTATCCTTTAAAAAAAAAAAAAAAAAAGCTGAATTCATTGAAAACATCAGCAGCATGATCTTTAATAACCAAAATACAGACCTAAATGTCTGACGCTTTGAACTATTTCACTTGGGTTGCTCTCTTCTCCTGAAACACCTCTTCCGTAATTACAGTTGAAGAACCCAGCACAAAAAAATTCAGTTAAAACAGTATCTACCCAACAGCCCTTGCAAGTCTAATACCTCAGAGTTTGATCATCCAGATTCAAGTATTTCATTCCACTGAAATTTTGATGGACAATACAGAGGAAAAGCAGAATGTCTACCAAAGTAAACATTAAAAAGTCGAAGCAAGGAAATAACCAGTGACAAAGGTGCATGTGTTGGCACTAAAAAGAGAACGCTGGTCCCCCGTACAAGGCTGCAGATCGAGAGTTTTCATTATCATCTGACAAATTCCTACGTTAGCTCTGAATAGACCACTTATCTGACTCAGTTTCCTAAGACTGATATGACTATTCTATGTGATTTTTAAACGACGTCAAAATTGTTGGTAATAAAAATACAGAAATATATAGAATTTCAGTAAGCCCGAACAACTGTACTGAACATGACAACACATTTAGACTATGAGTAGCAGTTCCACCCAGCCAGGTTCAGTGTAACTACTTCTGAATCACTCTGCTCACAAGCCGTCATACACCACAGGTAGGGGAGAAAGGGGCAGGTTCCAAGTTACGCAGTTCCAAAATTCCCGGATAGCCCACCCACAACTCCAGGGAGTGACACAAGCTAGAAAAGCCTATACGTTGGGTGCTATGTCTGATGGAGGCAGAACATAAAGCACACAGCACAGACATGCTGATGGCGCCCCACTGCAGCTACTCTGGGTCCAACAGACCGAGTTAGTGAATGGCTTAAACTGTTTCAGTGAGAAGACATGAAAGCACACAGATGTTTGGAGCACCACCATCTGAGCTGAACTCGGCATGGAGCTGCACTTCTGCAGACTCAGGCTGGTCCCAGAGGTCATACAGTCATGTTACTGTATTAGGGTGCGAGCTAGTAAGACCTGATGGATTCAAAAGATCCCGAGGAAATCGACATTATTTTAAAATTGCATGGAGCATAGCTACAACTTCACATTACTTTGAAAATATAAAATGGAAGCTTGCTTGTAAGTAGATGTGTAACGCTGCAGCTTTGCCAAATCTCATTTATTTGTTCAAAGTAATGGGGCTGGGGGTGGGGGGCAACAACAAAAGAAACTCTATACGCTTCTGGATTCACTCAACTACCAAAAAGGTCCTGACTTCTGTTTAAAAACAAAGTTAAGTTTTTATCCCCCATCCTTGCTAAAAGAATCTTGGAAGAAATTCGGGTTCATCCAAGAAATTCAAAACTTGGAGGCAAAGAACCAGCAAAGATAAAACACTCATAATTCATGCCAATCTTAGAACATTTTTAGGATGAGCCGATTTTTGAACGCTAAGGTGGCAGTGCTACCTTTACTCCTCTGAACAATCTTTTGCATTGCAGCACTCGGAATCTCAGCACAGAGGTCAGCTTTTTTAAGCAGTGTCTTTTCCTACTCTTAAAACCATTTACTTGTATAGCAATTACATATATGCACCAAAATATTTTGCTGACACAACGAGTATCAGGATAATTCTTCAGAAAAACTGTATATAATCTTTATGACTGATTCTTGACACAGATTGTTTCACATCTTTGTATTGCTACCTTCAACAAATATTTTACTCCTGGTATTGAGTGCAATGACTGCAGTCAACCAAACATGCAGAAAAATAGTTCAGCCGGGTGTGTGTTCTTTACTTCAATTAAACTCACACAGTTGGATGCCCACTATTGCCAAAACAGTAATATAATTTATACATTATAGTCCAAACAGTAAAACTACACTAAAAGTCATTTAACAATATTTATAACACCATAAAATACAGTGTTAAAATATATGAACTGCAGTATGCACCAAAATTATAAAATTTGTTTCTCATCATCAGTGATTAAAACCAGGATCATTGCGCTAGCTTCAATACTCACAACCCTGGTGACAGATTAGAATTCAAATCTTAATGATCAATTTACAATTAACAAGATAGAAGTGAAACAAATTAAACCAACCATTATATATAACGAGACCCAATGGACTCCCATTGTTCCCCTTAATTACAAAACGCAAATCACAAATACACAGTGGGCAGTGTTAAGCATTAATCCACAACCCAGAAACTCAGATAGTGACAATTGGAGGGGAAAAAAAAAAAAAGAACAAAATAACAGCAGAAATCAACAAAGGACTATATTTTTAAACACGCCTATGCATACAAAAACCTGCACAGACACTATCTGCTTTCTGTACAGCTTGAGGGGTTTATAATTTGTCGAAATTGTCTTTCTGAGGCTTTCTAAATCTTCATGGGGGCTAGCTCACACATAAACAAGAAAAGTTCAGTTTAGATTTCTCAGAAAGCCTGTATAAAACATAAAAACATACATGCTGTTCGGAGACGTCCAGCTCACATTGTGCAAGTATGTACTTACCATAGATAAATTTGAAATGCATCTTATTTAAAATGGACCTTTAAATTCCAATCAAGAAACAAAAATTTTAAATAAATGTATTACTGCCTCTTTTATTAAAAACACTCGAGTGTTTTACCTATTAAATAATGGGGCTGATATTATGCAATTATTTCTTAACTCCATGGAAACTAAGGCACAGAAATCCCAGGAGTACAGCAGAAAATACACAACTAGGTTCAAAATTCACATCCAGAAACAATATTTTTTGTCCTAATCCTCTCTTGTCTCAGGGGATAAAAGCCTTTAGGATGGAGATCAGGATCTCCACAGTAGCTACAGTCCATGATAAGGCCACTATGCCGAAAACGGCAAAAATCTTTTCCGCGCAAAAAGGGCACACTGAATAATCGATGCTGCTTCATGATCTGCTTTTACTGACATACATATGAGGTCAAGTCATAAGATCTTCCAAAGATGATATTTCTCAAAGGACAAAGTTATAGGATTCTATCCCAGAATTGTAGTTCTCCACTAGCATCCAGGGACAGTGAGCTAGAAAGGTTGCCTTTAGGAGAGATGCTACTAAAGGATATACCACAGTCGTTCATTTAAAACTTAGCTGAGGTCATTTTTTGCATCTGATCCTCTGGCCACATCACCTTTTGAATCCATCTATTGGCTTGCCATTTTCCAGTATCACCAGTTCCTTTTTGCTCTCATTTTCATTTTGTTCACCTTGTTCTCATTTTCATTCCCTTTCTCAGTTCTGCCCCTACTTGCTTGTCCATTCTTGTATCTAACTGCAGCAGCTCTCGCTCCAATGAAGGCAATCTCAAACTATATTAGGGCCACTTCTTACAGCTGTTCTCAAACGTTTTTCCATACTGTTTCCATTTTGTAGGGATCAAAGAGGCTCCGTTTCCCCTTTTCAGGTTCTTGACACAGTGAGCTAATGCTGCTAGGTGGAGAAACACTTGGCAATCTCCGGTATTTATTTTCAGGGAATAATGTGTTTTCACAGTACGTTTTCTGTCTTTCCTCCATCCTTCTACAGTCACCAGCCCGTGACGGTGAGCTCTAGCAACAAAGTCTGTGTGCATTTTTATTGCTGGAATAATATGATTTGAATATTACTGTAAAACTATTTAGATTTTATATTACTTTAGCAGAGAAGCTCTGCTTTTTCAGGAGAAAATCCCAACTGCTTATCTCTGGAGAAACCACCACAACATTTGCAAGGAAAGAGTGCTTACGTTTCCTCAGTTTCTAATTCTTGCCCCAGACACTGCGTCAGATTCATCTCACAACTTCAGCCATGTAACAGCCAGTCAACACTTTATATTCAGTGGAAAGTAGGACGGGCAGTGGAAGGAATACATGTGGGAAGCACCATATATGCCTGCCATCTACTTATTCCCTTTTGACCATTCTTGGAAATCAGATACCGGGGTAAATGAACCCTCTCCTTGACTGAGGGTGGCCCCTGCTATGCAACCTCAACGGGGTGACTAAATCCACCCACCAGAAGAAGAATCATAACTTGAAAACAAATTCAGTCTTTGCTGAGTGTTTTATACAGCTTACGTGAAGTAAGATGAATCCTACTCTTAACTACCAAATTCACTTTGCATGAAATTTACATAAGTTGCAAAATGCCAGCTCACCCCTTAAATTCCTGTTTCCTACTCTAAATATGAACCTTGTAGAAAGTTTCAACAGAGAGATGGAATATAAAAAATATATGTGAAAAGGAAAGAAAAAAATACAAAATCAAATGATTTATTAATACAGAATATGAGGGCTAGAACTACAAAATTCTCAGTTATTTAAAAAATGATAGTCCTGTTCTGCAGAAGGTAACTTCGAAATAGATACCTTAATGCTCTTGTATTTATTTTAACAATTTATTGCTTCCAGTTTTTGTTCTACTATCGAATTTTTTAATTGCTTTGCATTTAGAACTGCTACTGATTTTCATGAGAGCACCGCAAAACAAGTGGTGGCAGAATCAGAGCTTTAAAGCAAGCAATTTTGACAAGAATTTTTTCCAGAGATAATTATTTACTATGCAGTATTGTGAATTTAAGTAAGTAATTTAACCAACAGACTACAGTTTGGAGAACTTGAAGTATTTAGTATTTTTCATATAATTTCAGATGAATTGAAACTGTAACTCTTCTGTTAACTGTTTTCTACTTTTCATATTAAGAATAGGAACATTAGGAAGAATATAATAGTATGCAATTTTGATACGGGAATAGTGAAGTAATTAGAATTAATGGACAGAAACACCATCTGAAAAGAAGAAAATCAGAACTTCCCTGGACAAAAATCCATATATGTTTCTTAAAAGGTATATGCTACATTCACATTGAGAAGCTGTATAACAGCTAGGACAAAACAAATAGTAAATATAAATGAAAAATAAGGAAACATGGCCTAACAATAAAAGGGATAGGATAGGATAAGAAAATATACTAACCTGTATTTTTCTGATATTTGCTCCAACTTCCTTGCCAACATACAACATTCTTCCTTTAATTTTGCTATGAACGTATTCTGGGAGGCCAGCAATGAATCTAGTTCATTTACTAGAAATTAAAAATTATAAAATTAGAAATTTATTTCAAAATTGTAAAAATTCATAAAAAAACAATTTAATATATTCTTAATTTCTTTCTTCGACTCCTACCATTTTTTGGTATATTTTTCAAACTTGAGCCACCTGGGCATGGGTTTATAATATTAATCAGCATTTACGAAAGAAAGGCTATATATGCCAGGATAAGCTAACCTAAAATATTTTTTCCTACAAATATCCACACGGCTTTTTTCCCCTCCTCTCTCCTTTTTTGCTATTTATCATTAGGACATTATCATGTAAAGGGTGGCAGGTTCTCTATTTCGGTAGAGATAATCTCATCCTATCAGCCCACTGTCCTTATTATCACTTTCTGGTAAAAGGCAGATGAGGCAGCTTCCTTTAGAAACGTTAAGGGGTGTTAAACAGGCAATTTGATGTGACCATGTACTCAGACCTTGTGTGACAGGAATCACCATTAAGACTAGATACCTAATTTGGTGGTTTGGCTTTTTAGGCGGAAATTCTCTGATATTTCTGAGAGGAATAAGACTGGCAAACAATGGCCTAGCAGATCTTTCCTTGCTTAGGTGGTACAGAGGATACAGTGGAAATCCAAACACACTGTAGACTTAATTCATTTGGTCCTTAAGAAAGCAGCTCTTTTAATTCCTGTGTCCTGCACTCACTATGGTTTCTTTTTTCTTCTTTTTTAAATTATGAGCTCTAGACTTCTTATCAAGTGAAACCATTTCACAAAACCATTTTCAGTTACTACCACTTTGGCTGCACCAAAACTCATGACCTAGAAATCACAGATCTCTATTGTTTCAAAAAGAAGATATTGCAGAACAATGTTTCCTGATTTCTGCTTTTAAAATCATTCACAGGAGGGCAGACCATTGTTACCCAAATTTCTTACATACATGTAAGATCATAATAAACAAGGGTTTCTTTATGTACAAAATAAGTGTTTACCATCATTTTCAACTCCTTCTAATTCTATTAGAGATATAAAAAGCCACAGTCTTAATGTTTCATTTTTGTATACTGCAACAATTTATGCACCAGGAGGGGTAAATTACGCATCTTTTATGCAAAATTACACTTGGTCGTATACAGATGTGTTGGGTAGAGTAGGGAAAAATGATTCTGAGAACTTCTCGTCCTCTCCTGCTGTGCAGACAGCAGTCATAACGTACTTGTTTGCATTCCCTGAACACAAGCTAAGGTCTCTCATGTGATAATGCTGCAAAAAAGGCAAAAATAAATTAGATGGAAGATGTAAATGTGTCCGCTGCCTCAGGTATTAGCTGGCACTGCTTAGGAGTAATACAAGCTACATTTTTCTAAAGATGTTGCAAAAGACAGGTGGATAAAAATGGTATTTCATTAAACATATGAATATACCGTGATCCATAAAAGCTGAAGCTCCTCCTTCTTTCCATGCTCAGGGGTTACACATTTTCTCTCTAAAAATTTATTTTTTGTTTATAATTTGGAACTTATTAATGTTATTGGCATAATACTTAGCAATAACAGAGGTTTTTTTTTTTTTTGGAAAATCTATTTTACTTCCAGATTAAAGGTGAAAAGTTATTGATCTACTAAGTCAATGTGATAGTCTCCTGTTATGAGAACCTGAAGTATGCAAGGGATTAAACATCTTTCTTCTAGACTGAGAGTGAGGGTGGACATGCTAGTGCTAAAAATGTTTGAGGCTGCAAAGATTAAATAAAGGAACATATCAATTTGGAGCCAGTGAATTACATCCAGCTGCGACAGTGAATTAAGAACCGATTAATGGCTAAAGCTTTTCTCCAGTTTGGATGCCGAAGCAAACTCATTAAGCTTTTAGAGTAGCTATAATGTGTGTACTGTGGGAACTGTTCAATGCTATTCAGGAGACTTTAACTGTAAGCTCAGAGCATTTCCCGCAGAGCTTCTGATGCTATTTTCTTTATATAACATGTGTGCCTGAAAATCCAGCCAAAAACAAGCCCTTTGTTTTTCTACTTTGTTGTGGTCTCTCTCAGCTTTACGTTTCTTGAACACAGGTAAATAAACTCATAATCCAGATGGTGCAACAGATGTGAGAGCAGCACTCTGAAATCAACAGACAGTGGGCAATACTTTCCATTTTCTCTTTTAAACGCTAACTAATATGTAATTCGGAATCTCCGGTGTAGTTAGCATCTGCTCCCTTCGGCCAGCCAAAGGTTACAGGTGTTCCTGATGTCATTTCACAGTAAGGCGTGGGCCTGGCTTGTGAGTGAGTTCTCATGCTGGGCCTCCATTTGCTGCATCTTCTGTGTCAGCTCCTGCTCTCTTTGCTGGGCCTGAAGGGCTTGGGCCTTTGCTTCATTGCTAATGCTGTGCTGAATATTCTCTTTCTCCAATCTATAAATGCCAAACAGGAAATAAAGAAAAATAAAAATTCTGCATTGAAGATGAGGAATAAACCAGGAAAATCATTCAATTTATAGTCACAATGACAAAGCAAACCTGGCCAAGCCTTTCACGTGAAACGTTTCCCTCCCGCTTTAGGTTGTACAAACTGACCTTTCTCTTGCAATGTCAAACATTCTCCAGTGACTAGTAGAAAATGCATAAAAAATGTGATCTATTTCCTGAGTAAAAGCTACCCTTCTAGACAAAAATATTTTATTTTTAAAAATTTTAAACACAACTTCTTTTTCATAAGGAGGCTTCCCTACATCCAATTTGCATTAAACAGATTATTTGATCTTTCTTTTATATGCTATATATTCAATTTTGCAATGAAACTTAGGGAACTGATCCCAAGATGGACCAGTTCCCAGTGAATCAGTAGGAGATAAGTCAATGGGAGCAATCTCTACAGTGCTCATAATACAGCTATTCTAAAAGCCTAATGAGTTTCCTTAACCAAACAAGTTTTAACTATCAATTTATGTAAATAAGAGATGAATGCATCCGTTACAATACAGAAAACTGTTAGCACCACACAGGCACAGCCGCTTGTGGTTCTGCTCACTGGGGGGTTGTACAGGAAGGACTAAAGCCCACTATTATTATTGAAGTATGCAGGCAAGAGAGCAATTTACTTGACCAGATATGCAAGATGGGGCAATCTATTCCTGAGGCAAAACAAATGCCAGACTACCACACTCCATTGAAGCATTTTATTTAATGCAAGCCAAGCAAAAACAGCATGGAAAATAAGAAAGCAAGAAGAGATATGCATATAGATTAGAAAAGGTCTTGAACTGCAAATTCAGATCTAGACTTTCCCAAAGGTTGTGAATATTCATATTGGGCACACATTTGGATCTAGATTCAAAATTTCAGGGAGTTCACACACATGGGGATTGACTTCTAGATTTCAGATGACATATATGCACACACTTTTCAATTGAAACTACATTTAACAGCTTAAGGTAGGTTTCAATAAAGTCTTACAAATGTTTTGTTTTAGTCTAGCAATAGTACCCTTAACAGTGGACAACAAAATAAAACATGAGTATAGATCCTGTAAGGATAAAGCCGTATCTCATGTGGTTGCTACACTTAACCTTTGGCTTGGTGCCTAATAACTCATCCGAGATATTGCAATATCTCAGCATGACATACACAATGTTAAATCTTCTCTCTTAAATTTACCCCAAAGCAATACAAATGGCGGGTTACATTACACTAATTCCTTGTCCTGATGTTGCAAGCACTACCTTAGGCAAAACTCCCACTGAAGTCGCAGGCTTTTTTTTTTTTTTTTTTTTTTTTTTTTTTTTTTTTTTTTTTTTTTTTTTTTTTTTTTTTTTTTTTTTTTTTTTTTTTTGCAGGTTTTTTTTTTTTTTTTTTTTTTTTTTTGGAGACAGGACTGAGACTGGAGATTTAACATAGAGAATACAGTTACATAGAGACTGTTGTAGTGCTAAAGAAACAGAGTATTTTTTTCTAGGAAATTTCATACAATGAACTGCACCTTTATCACATTATTCTCAGAATTACTTCGAAACTATACTGGTGCTATCCTAGGGAGCGATGCACGCATCACTCATTAAGTGTAAGTTCAAAAAATGGAAAGCGTTATTATGAAAAATCTTTCCATATTTGCTGGGAATCACTCTATTTAAACCCCTCTCCCCTCTTGCAAAAACCTTTGATGTTCAGACAGTTGTCACGAACAGCGGACTGCTCAACAAAATGCACCACCACCTAATATAGCCCCCAGATACCTTCAGCTAAAGCAAGTGACAGTAGCACAGTATTTTATTCAGTAGTGTCTTGTGTGAGACAGCTGTGTGCAGTTGGGTGCTGTGTTGTCATCTGGTACACAGCTGGCTGGCTGGCTTTCAGCTAGGGGTAGCCTTCAGCATGCATCAAGCTGCACAGCTGAAGCTACCAAGGCAGACCTGTAAATGTCCATTTCTCAGTGCTAGGGTCCCTCCTGTCTGAAAAGGACACGTGCCCATGGGCAAATTCAAAGCAAAGGGAGAATCTGCAGCCACCAGGAACCCTCTGCTAAAGGGAACCATCCAAAAAAGCCACTCACCTTGCTACATACTATGTAAACTAACAGGAGCTCAAAAACAACGGATGCATGGGAAGCTCCCTATATCTGAAGTGAAGTGTATATGTGGTGGGTGAAAACAGGTAATTTTGTGCAGTGGACAAAAGCGTGACCGTAAGCCTTGGAAAACTTCTAAGTCTAGCTTGATTGTAAGGCTAGAAAGACACAGATGAGTATTAAGCAGAGGGGTAGCTGACTAGTCTCAATTTTAGCACCTAGAAAATTTTAAGATCGAGACATTTCTAGTGCCACGTACCCCACATTTAAATGTGTAAGAGCAACACCTGAGGGGCCTAGAGCTGCTGAGGAATAAAAAAACTCTTGTGAAGCCAAAGCTAAAATAAGCGGCAGGTCTTTCACTCATACCACTGGCACATACTTCTCCTTGCCCCCAACTTGAGTCTCTCTGCCCTCCTACAGAAAATTTCCCCAATGCATTTTACACATGCGGAGAAAAACTCCCATGAATAAAACATGCGGAAGAGTGAACTAGGGCCCAAGAGATTTCAGGAACTGAAGATGGTACGGAGTGGTTAAACTGCAGCAGCCTGTGCTCTAACAGAATTCATAGACTGAATCAAAATTGGAGACAGTAGCAAATATTAACGTCTTCTCACGTAGTATCCATTGTGAAACAAAAAATAAATAAACGTCTGCGAGTCTGAAAATAATTATGGATTTGACCATAACTGTGGTGAGTTTTACTCAGGCACAAGCGCTGAACTCATGGTTATCTTCATCTTTATGCAGTCAAGTGGGAAGCTACCATCAAAGACTCGTTCATATACAGACCAGACGCCTCACCTCCTTGAGCTCTGTTCCGAAGTACAAGTTTTCCACAGTGATTTTAGTTTTGAACACTTGGACTGTTCTGAGGCTGAGTTACGGCTGTCAAGAGCAGCTTACAGAGTTAATTTGTTTACACATCTCAACGAACTGAATACCAATTTTGGTGACTGAAAGGTAGGTCTTCTAAATGTTCGTGACAAAACAAAGGCCACAATAAACTGTCGTTTATGGCACAAGAAGGAGAAAAGAGAAATTGCTATCATTTGCAAACCTTGAAAAAGTCCTCACTGAAAATAAAGTAAAAATTCATCTTGACCTCAAATCTAAGCTAGAAGTATACTACCTGAATTTGAGCCACCAGATTTAATAAAAACTTTCCCATTGCTAATAAATAAAAACTGGATGATTTTTCCATTTTGATTAGAAGACTAATATCTGCCAAATGGCTTCTCAATAAAGGAAAAGGAAGGAGTTAGAACCTAGTTGATGCGAAAGTCAAATCTGAAATAATATGGAGCTCCGTGATTTTGGCTGCAAAAAGAAAACAGAATTTACATGATAAAACTTTGAATTTTACAATGCAGTTCAACAGTAGCTATTTCTGCAAGACTTTCTGCTTACAGTAAAAATATAAAGTGAAAAATACAGGATGAATCTCAGTGTAGAATTAGGTCTTTGGCTGGAGGTTGCCGGTAAGTCTTCTGACAGAGCAACTACCATGTGAAAGAATCATGCTCCCTATACTGGTTTTTCCATGAGATCAGTGTGCGGCATTTTGTAAAAAGCTAACAGATGCAGAAGGAAGGACTCCAGACTTATCAGACAAATTTAAAATCTTTAGCCATTATGTTAGTTGAGAAGCACGCCAGAGGTTATCAGAACCTTATTTTTGACTTTTTCGGTTAATTACGATTAAAACACAATCGGAACATAGTTTAGGCTTTCATACATATATACTTTAAATTGGAGACCATAAAGTATTAAGGAGCGGCTGGAATGTAATATTCCAGCATCTGAGGTATCTGAACCGACAATATTGCTGGACAGTCATCAGTCCTGGAACTCAGCACCAATATTCATACTCGGGAAGCTAGAGGACCAATAGAGTCTAACACTGATGCTTGCACTACCTGCCTCAGCAGGAGAGTCTGGACCTTTCCCCAGATAGCTGTTAGCCAGGCAGGCCACCACTGTGAACAACTGCACAGCAAATCCTGCCAGAAGAGGAAACACACTCAGCTGTGGGCTCCCTCAGCACTTCCAGAGGAAGTGGGCTTCCTCTTTTAGTATGTTTGAAAATGAACATGTAGCATAACTTCTATATACCAAACTGAAAAAAAGTTTGGGCTAGTTCTGAGAAAGCACCTAAGCGTTTAATTCCCAGCATCTTTATATAAATCTGGCTCACAAACACTTACACCATTTATAGCACTATGCCTCTTTCCAAAACAGGACTTGAAAGCTTATGTTTACTAGGAACTTTTCAAAATTTTAGCCAATAGCTTTGGATACAATAGCCCAGCAGTGTTTTATTTTGTATACCTTGCAAGCTTTCTACAGTGCCAATCTAGTGTACTGACCAGCATGAGGTAGCTTTCCGAACCACCTTCTCATAGGTTGCTCATATTATTATTTCAGCTACAAGTGCCAAGGAAATAATGGAAAATCAGAGCACATCCTTGCTCTTCTCTCAAGCAACAGGGAAAAACCGCGTAGCAACATTCACAATAAAAATAAACAGAACCTGAAACAAGAGGTCATACTACCTACCCTATTCATGTTAGGGGAAACATCAGAAAAATGTTTGCAACGTCCCTTACTGCATTACCAGAAAATACTCAGAAACTGCAATGATAAAGGTGATAAAAAAGGCACACAGAACAAGATCATACTTTGGGTCAGAAAGCTTCACAACTTCTCCCTTCTGTCCTCCATATCTGTTTTTATATCACAGCTACTTCATACACAGGATAAGGGCTCGGTTTCTCCTGGTAAGTGGACAAGCCTGACGGTTGGTTTTTCAAATATAAAAAGGAAATTATCACACAACCAGAAGTCA